AGCCTGCATAAGATTCGGAGAATTGTTGTTGGAAAGAATCCTCCAATGCCTATTTTATATTATTTAGATGAATCAGGACCTCAACGACCCTTCGTAAGAGAACAGTTAATGCATATTAAGAAAGAACCTATGTTGCCTCCTAGGTGGGTATTGGAATATAACCAAATGCATACAAGGCGCTTCTTATAAAAGTTTCTAAGTCAACGGTGCAATAGGAAATTGTAATAAGGATTACTCCTTCTCTGTAACATAACGTCCTTTTTTTCCAATCACACCAGATTTGTGTATCTAGGTTCATCTGTCCTTGTAAGTGAAAAAAAGGTACGATTTGATAATGTTAGTTACCACTATATTCGAAGGCCAAGTCTAGCTCTTCATTATATTCATCTAGATGTAATCCCTTCAAGAACTTAGGTTTTTAGAGGGGAAATTTTTTATTTAATAAATCTTCAAATATATACTAGCATGTTCTTTCTGGTACATTACGTATAAGAAACAATGACTTTGAATAACAAATTTTATCTATTTCCGCGCCTTTCCCTTTCTAAACCAGAGTTTTGTATAAATATAGTATTTTCGCTTTTGTTTTTAGATAGAAGAATTTGAATATTTTCTCTTAAGGCAATCATTAAAGAGTACCGAGCGTGTCAGCAACAGTTGGTTCCTTTTTTCATTTCTTAATAAAATTATGTTCCATTAACGTTAAATTTGGTTAATAAATTGGTCGACATTCGTGGTGATAGAGTTTGTGTAAAATAGAAATTTTTGAATAAACACTTTATAAATTATTTTATATGTTACGTAATACTTAAATCTTTACTTTAAATGATATGATTTCATTTTAAAGATTTGACTCGATGCGATTTACGTCCAAGTTAGGAAACCATTGTTAAGTCCGGAGCACGTGTAACGAAAGGGACTTATCACGTATCGACTCAAATTTCGGAGACATTTTTGTGTCACTCGCTATGCTCCTGACTAAAAAGACTAGGGAACGGGGACCGTTGTTAAGTCCGGAACGATCTTAACTAAAAAAAATTCACACTGGTATTTGCTTTATCTAGACTTTTTGTGCAATTTCTAAGGCCAATCAACATCGACTCAAATTATTTGAGCGGGCGGACAAACAGAAACAGGGCCCAGACATATATAGTCTTGCGCTTACGCTCCGGACTTACTAGGGAACGAAGACCGTTATTGTTAATTTGGAACGAACTTAACTAAAAATATTTCAATAAGGGACATTTCGTGTAACATGTGGCTAGTATATGAAAGTCCTTCGATTCGATCCGGACTAATTACTTATTTAATAATTAGATTCGAAACATAAAAGTCACAATCTAAGTGAAAGTGTATATTAAAAGCTGACGGTTAATAACAAATCTTTAATTGATGAGATGTATAATTTTAAAATTTTCTAAATTTTCGGCAGGAATTTTATACTAGTGGCATGCAAAAGTGAATTCTTGAACGGTATTGGTTTTACATAACATATTGTAGTTGCTAATTCTAAGTATATTTTTTTTAACAATTTTAAAAGTCATTTAAGATCGTTACGATTTATGTTATATCCATTTTATTTGTTGAATATTATAAGATGTCGTCTTAGAATTGTTGTATTTATATTAGTTCGATGAGAGACAATTTGTTCCAAATAGTCAGCTATCCAGTAAAGTTTATATACTTTTTACTCGTAATTTTGGATGTTGCCTTGTAATACGTGCATAAGTTACATATAAGGCCACGTTAACCTTCCGGGTCTTTTTTAGTTTTAAAATTCGAAAAAAAGGTTTATATACTTATATAAATTTTCCCGGACGGACTTTTTTAACAATTGAAAATTATTTATGTTTTTGTATATTGAGCAGTCATATAAAAAAATTATAAAAAAAAAATTTCAAACCATGTTACAAACGAAACTTTATATAAATCTTTCTATTATTAGCTTCTTGTCTGGTCAAATTTCTTAGACTATTATTTACTTACTAAAATTTTGTTAATACCAATAGTTTTCATTGAATAAATAGTTACTCGTTCACTAATCATCCTATAACAGAATAATTGTTTAGTAAATAAAATATTAATATTTTAACAAAAAATTTAAAACGACACGCGTAGCTAATTAATCTCAATAAATACTGTGTCATCCATATAATAAAATAATTTTTAAAAAGATACTTCCATGATTAAGTTATTCGTCCGTTTTGAACTTAATATTATAATTTTTTTTTTAATAAAAAAAAATTAGATACACTAACAAACAACGTATAAAAAACTACAAATAATATCCCGATAGGAGAATATAAATTAAACCTGTTACCGGCTTGAATTCTTTGAATTTTGTAAATAAATCGGATTACTAATTTATCCCATCGTTCTGATTGGCTGGTCTGGTATAATTGATTATGCTTATTTGTCACGCATAAAGGCGTGACAAATAAACACAAAAGACAATAATATTTAACGTGAATGAAAACACGTATACTTCAGAAAATATAATAATAACCGGCTTGAACTTATTAAAAGATAAGACAAAATTGACCACAAAAAAAGAGATGGCTTATGAGAGTTGTAAGCTGATAATAGGCACCAAAAAAGGAAATTGGAATGGAGCAAATGGAGAATGAAAAATGTAGTCAAATTCGGTGATCACATGCATACATTGTTTAATAAAACAATTGTTTCCATAAAAACAAAAAAGTATTAAATAATTTATAACTTTATTAAGAGTATGCAAAATTCAAAATTTTTTTTGAATATACAAGAAGGATTTGTTCGTTCTTTAAATTAAAGTTTCTAATGAATTATGTGAAGTTCCTTGTTCAAAATTTGGGTGTTAATATAAATTATATTGAACGATGATGTTTACTGGCGTAATACAAAAAAAAAGAAAAAAAGCTGATTACCCTAATTTAAATTGAAAGGAAAAACTGATCTAATTCAAAAAACCTGCACTACTTTTAAGCGAACGAAAAAAAACAAAATGCCAAATTCACTGGCGTAATTCAAAAAAAAACTGGTTGTACTAACCTTAAAATGCAATTCTTCATTTAACATAAGAAGAACAAATATAACAAAGGAGCGATAAGTGATCTACGAATCAAGCATGCCAAATAATTCTATATCAGCTGAACTCGTCCCTGAATGTTCATAAAATTTGGGGGAAATTTCAATAAGAAGACCACTATTCTCTACAAAAGGAGCGCTGGTTTGGACGGTTTGATCGACATAGTCGGAGTCTGCTACACCTGTCGCCCGCGAAGGTAAAACTTTTCCGCTTTCTTGATTACTTTTAATCTTCTTCATATGTTTGTCCTCTACAAAGTATAAATCTTTTGGTTTATATAAAGATTTAGCATCATCTGCAAGTTTTTTATAAAAGGCTTTTGTTTCGACAGATTCTTCTTTCCAAGAAATACTTGTGATCGAGGATATTTTGATCATAGGTATTTTAATATTGTTACGATGATACTCCATTCTATACACAAAATAAGCGTTTATTTTTGGGTGAGGTTTTTTGGATTTACGTAATCTTTCGAGGATAACGTCCGTTGTTAAGGTGGGTGGAAATTTAGGCCTGATAATGTTTTCACTCATGATTTTATTAATGAAACACTGGTGTAAAAATTTTATAGATCAATGATATATTTTTTAGGAAAAAGTCTATATTTATAAATAAAATGTTTCTCAATTAATTTTTCGAGTCCCGATGATCTCTAGGAGGAAATGGTTAGTTTACAATAATCGTTGATAGTTGATTCCATTTTTGAAATTTTCTCGTTTCCAATCCTGCGGGAGTATCCTCCTGTACATGCAAGTTGAAAGATTAACAAAATATTTACTGTCATCTAATATGACTTTAAGGCATTATTCCTTTTATTAGCACTAAAAAGCAGTGTAATGTTTTTTTACACAAGTTTTTTGTGTAAATTAATCGTTTATCCCCAATTTGGTATAAATAATGGAACGTTTGTCCAGGGTAGCAAATTGTTAATTTAATTTAAATTTAAAAAAAATAAAAATAAAATTTTTTTTACAAATAAACTTAAAAACCGTTGTTTTGTTTTGATTAGCAGAAAATTTTTTATAACGAATCATTATTGTTACATTAACAGTTAATGTCTAGAATGGAAAACGCAATTAGATGAGTAAAAAAAAAAAAAGTTGTCTATTCATATTAAAGTTAAAACGCCTATTATAACCTTTCTTCAGCCTTCTATCGTACCAATAATGTTCTCCCGAACACCTTAACTTGCTTGACCCGTCGTCAATGTTTACTTCCTAATCGGTAGGTATCTAAAATATTAGGGTAAACAATATGTATTTATATGTCGTGTAAAGGTACGTAATGTAATATCAAATATAATGAAGAATGATTTTTTAAATTAATGGATTTATTTGATGATTTATCTGGATACCACCAGTTATTAGTCTTAATCTTCTTTTTTAAAAAAAAGAAAAATGTGAACAATTTGAGGTTTTTTATACCCTTGTGAAATAATATCACGCCAAAAATGGTAATACATATAAGATTAATTATAAAGTCCATTGTTACGGTCACATGCATATAAAGTTTCATGTTATAATGGTTGTCGGTTCCATAACTGGCAAAGATTCGGAAGCAGATGAGTAAAAAGCGGGAAAGTACATTTTATTTCCTAATTCGTTAGTTTTACCTGATATGATTTGTTGATATGGTTCAAAATTTGATCCAGTTAAAAAAATACCAAGGAATACAATTTTTGAGGCATTTTTGCATGTATAGTGTGTTGGATAACAACTTTTGATTATGACTACCGTTGGCAGTTAAAAACACAGCCCATTTCAAATTCACGTGATAAAGTAATTCGTAATAGATAGACAGTGAAACAATGCGTTCCACTCATGAGACAAGGGGCGGACATCGGGACATCAAAGCGCATAAAACATATCTGATATATAGTCCTTCGCTAACGCTCCGGACTAATGATTATGATGAGAAATTTTAAGGAAAACTTTCGGAAATCAATATAGATTAAATTTTTACGGAAGAAATTGATTTATTACGTGGAGGGAGCTTTCTTCCGTCTTTGTTAACATTAATTTCAACTAGACAAATTGTAAAAATTATTGAACATGAATCTGATGATAAATATTAAAAAGATTTTGATTCTGCTTTTTTACCTTAAAGATATGTAAGAAAAAAATACACAAATCATCTAAAATCTGATATAAATCTTTCTGATAATCTTAAAACAGAAGCTGATTAACCTTCAGAATCTTTAAAATTTATTACTCTAAATTACAAATGAATCTGAAGATAATTATAAATCTTGTAGATGATAATTTTGAAACATTTGAAGATTATGCATTACTGAATTATGAGTTATTTTAAAATTTATCAATTGATAACTGATTTTTGTGAATTTTACTTTAGATCATATTATTTCAGATAAGATTTAATTTACAGAGTCTGCAACTGAAGTGTTAATAAATTTATAAAATTAGTTCTAATAGAAATGTAAGGTGATGAATTTAGAAATTTTTCAAATTCAATATACTTGACAAAAAAAGCACTTAAATTAAATGATCAATTTTACTATTTCGTTTTTTATTTCAACTTTCATAGTTGTATCAAAAACAGAAAGTAGTGAATTTTCAAAAGAATAATATGCTAACTGTAATGAAATGTTAACATGTAGAATTTTCCAATTCTTCAACTTATAAAACATGATTTTGCAATACTTTATTATTTTAAAAAATCATATTGACAAATTGAACATTAATTTGACCTAATTTAATTTTTCTATTTTTTAGAATATAATAACAACTCATTTCTATGTATTATTAGCTTAATTTTAAAACTAGCTTGAAATAATAAACAAATTGTCGGCATTTTAATAATATTATGACTGATATATATAATGGTGAAGTATGACAAATATTAAAAGAATCTTTATAAGAAGATTTGGAAAATTTTAGAAATGAAATGGCTGATTCTTATTTTGAATTAATGTTAAAGTTTAATTGATTTTAGCTATATAGTAGTACTATTTATAATATTAGAGTAATATATACCATTATATGCAATTTTTTATGATATCTGATTTAAATATAAAAATTTACTGCCTCTTAGTCTTTTACCTAAACTAAATAAAATCAGTTTATATACTATTTAGTGCTGATTATAGATGAATTAAAATTTTTTTGAAATGGATTAATAATAAATAAAAATATGAACATTCTGAAGAAAAGAATATTTATACAACTTTAATTCTTATTTCATGTAATATATTTACTATATATGCCTGCTGAAACCTTCTCAAAATAATTTTATCATACCCTTTTCTATATTTTTAATATAGTTTCAACAGTTTCAGCTTTTATCATATCGAATAGATTTCGTCGTATCCCTTATTATGATTTTAATATAGTTTTGTCTAAGTTTCGACTATTATTAAGGGATTTCGTCTTTCAATTATAATATTGACTATTAGACAAATATGTAGAATATTTTGGTCTTAGTATTATATCATAAATGTAAAAAGAAGGCAAATTATGAAAATTATCAGCATAATTTTACCAAAATGATAATTAGTTCATTATGTGAGATCCAATTGAGCATTGTCAAAATGCTTTAAAATAGAGTCATTAAATTTAGACTCTTTACAAAAATGATTTGTAAAACAAAGTTGCATAATATAATCTAAATTATTACATTTACTATATGATATGAGAAAAAGATATGTTAAAAAGAAACACAATTTTGATCTTATAAAATATATTACAATCAATCTAATGCATTGCCTATTTTAGGTATTGCATAATGAATAGTAAAATGAATCTAGATTGATTAAGGAATCTTGACATCAAATTTTTTGAATAAAATTTAGAAAAAGATGAATAATCTTAATTTTCGTTAAAATTTGATTGATATTCATGAAGTTTGTAATGCTAATGATAAACAAATTTACTTTTTTAATGATTTGTATTATTTTGTCATTTTAATTCAAGAAAATCTCCTTTTATGGTTTAAGTAAAATTGTTTAGAAGGTCTAAAATACTTAAATTTTAATTTTCATTAAGATTAGTTTGATATTTGTAATGTTTATAATAATAATAATATATAAATTCGCTTTTTATGCTATTTTATGACTTTTAATCATTTTATTTAAAATTTAAATAGAATTAGTATTATTATTAAATTTTATATAATTTTAATAATGATTATTAAAAAAACTAAATAAAAATTAAATTAATATACATAAAAATCATTAAATAAATATAAAATTTAAATTATTAAAAATAAATAAATTATTAAAATTAATAAATAAAATAAAATATTAGTAAAATAATTAATAAAAAAATTCAAGAGTATTAAATAAAATTAAAATAAAAATTTAAAAAAATTATTAAAAAAAAAATTTAAATTTAAATAATATATTTTAATTAATATTCATAATTTAATATATATATATATATATATTTTAATTAATAAAAATTGCATATATTAAAATAATTAGAAATCTAACAATCAAAAAAAATTAAATTAGAAAAATTAACTTCTTTTTTATTAATATAATTAAATATTTTCAAAATTTTGGTTTTATATTTTATTTATCATTAATGCTAAACAGTAAATAAAATTCTTCACAAATGCAAACTCTAATTATTTTCTTTATAAAGTTAATATTTATCAAAAAAGTTATGCAGATCTGTAGAATTAGAATTGTTTAATCAGAATTAAATCTAAATTTTAAGTTATTTAATTGTTAATTCCTGTATTTTATACTATTTCTCTAAAAATTACATGTATGCAAAAATATATAGAATCATTCAAATAGTAATAATATTAAGAATTTATTTCTATCTAAAAGATTATATAGGGTCTTTGCAATAAAAAGGGAGGAAACTCCAAAAAAATTAAAATTTTAATTTGTAAGCCAAAAATGTTCTAAATACTATAATTTGTTCAGATTTATTATTAACTCATTTTTTATTTTTTTTTGAGTTTCCTCCCTTTCTATTGTAAAGGCCTCATATAACCTTCTTTCAATTTTATTAAAATAATTAAAAAATTATTTTTATTTGAGTCATGACTGACTCAGTTACTAGTGATAATAATTTATAAGAAACATTTCTCAATTTATTTTAAAAATGATAAATTTAGTGAAAAAAACTTAATACTGTTCTTTTCTTTTCTTTAATATTTTAAAATAATCATACTGTATCTTAAGAATAATTGTATTTATTAAAGTTTAAAGTACTTATAAAATAATCATTTAATATTATTCAAATGATTATTAGTTAACAATTCTGACATAAAATGATTTTACCTAGTTATTTATCATAAAACTATTTTATGAGTATCTTTAATAATATACTATATATACATTCTCAAATTTTAAGAAAAATAAGTTCTTTAGCAAATTTGATAATAATGATTTATTATAATATTTTAATAAGCTACTAAATAAAATATATAATAAACCCTTTTAAAATCTTAAAATTTCTTAAAATTTAAAATTTTAGAATTTAGGACTAGGTCTCAAAGACTGGTTCTATTCTTAATAATTCTATCAAAATTACCAATTTTAAATATTATTTTCACTTTTTAC